ATGAATAAGTCGTCAAGATTAGTGAGAGGTGTGCGAGGGCGTAGAAGGCACATTATCACAGCCTCAGTTACAGCATGGGATGGGATGGGAGATACAGCATCTGTCACTCTGACGATTTGAACGGCTCTCAATACCATATACTGGACTGCAAGGATCTAGGGTGCCCTCAAGAATTGAAGGCACAACACGAATTTGGGTCAAAAAGGCATAGTTGTCATTATATAATTAAGGGCTACTGTAAAGTGTCGGGTTGTGCAGATCAAACGAGAAGGGCGCCAAACAATCAGAAGGACTGGGATACGATGGAGTCATTGTGGGTGGAGGCAAGAAAGCAGCGTGGACACACGAACGTCAACAGGCCACAGGTATGAGAACTATTGAAATTACCTGGGCAGTCGCATAAATGGCGAAGGTATAGTGGCAAGATCCCATCGAAGTTTGGAGTAATGATCGAGTACGTGAGTGTGTTGTCCGGAGTATAGGAAAGTGTGCAAAACATCTATCAGAAACTTGACAGTTCTTTTAAGAGTGATAGTTAGATTCAGAGCGGGGTGACGGTCCGATTGAAACACCTATTTCATCCTTCGTTGCGACACTCCATCTCTTCTATGCTTTTCTCGTTCCACCGCCTTGAGGCCATTTCGGCTTCGATAACCCGCACGCGTTCCATAAGCCCACGAGTGACTTGGTCCTCTCTTTATTCACAGAACCTGCTTTAGTCGGGGCGCATAATGTGTCTGCCTCTGCTTTTCTCTTCGTCAAACGGCTCAAACCCTTCTCCGCGTCACTGAGTCGTAATCGGACTGCCTCTAATTCGGACACGTTTGCCTCGAGCTTGGCACGCATGTTTTCAAGTTCATTTTCATATTTCCCAATCTGCTGGTCGCGAGATAGTACCAATTCGTCAAGCTTCGCTTGCATGTCCCTAAGCCTCGCTTGCATGTCCACAGGATCTGCATCCCGCTGCTTCACCAGCGATGTCTGTATGGGCCGTCGATCATCCACATCCCCGTATTTGCGTCGCTCCGGCCCTGTACGCATTGCTGCCTCCACAGCATTCGCCTCGGCCTGTTCAGGTAGAGTACTCTTCAGTGTGCTAAATAACTAAGCGTGAGAGGAACGTTGCAGGAAAGGAATATAAGACTGACCGTACGACATGATTGGGACATTCTCTGGAACGTTCAAGTCAATACTGCGGGGGGGGAAGAACGTGGCCAGTTCAAGCTCACCTAGCCCAGTGACCCATCTGGCCACACTTGAAACATGCACCCGGATCTCCACTGAATTTTGCAAAACGTCCTACGCCATGAGATATTTCCACGCGGATTTTATTGCCCATAAAGAAGCCTTCGTTATACTTGGCAACACTTTCCTCGGCCGCTTCGCGACTGTCAAATTCCTTGAGAGAATGAGACTTTGAGGATGCCGAATATCTCTTCAAGGACAACCTACCACGAAACCATATCCCACTCTAGAGGAAGTGAATCAGATTATGAGTTGCCGCAAAGTCATGGAGATACGTCTTCAATTCAATGTTGACAATACCGCCTATTTTTCCGAAACAACTTTGAAGGACCTCTCGGCGAGTGTTTTCGGGTAAACCGCTGATGTAAACCTTATTTGGCTGTGGAGTACAGAAGTAAACACCAAGTCCAGAACGCTGAAAAGAGTAAACGTGGAGAAGGAGAACAGCATGTGAACCCGTAGCCATGGGTAGCTAATCACCGGCAAACAGCCATAAGCAGCATGGAACCACGACGAGTGAGACTGCTCATGCTCATTGGCCATGCACGAACACATACGTGGCGGGAACGAAACATAGGACAAGAGAAGACCTAAGCACCCTGATATGTTTCTCCCTGTAGATTGTCGCCCCACTAGATCTGGTACCAGGGCCGGGGACACCCGCACTAGGGTTACGAGGGTGATACTCCGCGCTGACTGGGTCTGATGCTCCACGTTCATCGGGAGGACCACCGTTCGAAGGAGGGAGGTCTGCACCATGTGCAAGAGAGTCCCCAGGTCTCTCTTCTTTTCCCAACCACTTTTCACGCACTTGTGTATCGCCACGGTCGACTGGGACAGGAGAGGCCGCCATAGCAAAGGGATGGGAGAAAGAAAACCCTTGCGACTTGTTCAAGCGTTGCTGTCCGGCTACATTCAAACCCAGTTTCAAGCTCCGATTAAATAAGACAGCGCCACATTCCACCAATCATCGTAAATCGTCTCACCTGAGTCACACTCTAAACGAGGCCGAGCTCGTCAGAGTCAGCTGTGAAATAAGGCGGCCCCGCTCAGTTTGCGCAGCCAGCAATACCGACAGCTGCCGTTCAAGCTCCAACCTTGTAACTCCTCCTTCAGAAGAATGAGGTGCCGCGAACTTCGCATGGTACTCCGTTGAACCTTCTCTCCTGGGATAATTCTCATCCGTGAGTTCCAATTGCCGACCATACGGACCGTAGTTTAATTGCAGGGAGGCAGTGCGGCCCGATACAGCGGGGGCAGATGGGAAGTACTGTACCATGGGCCTCCGATGAAGAGGTCGGGTTGACAATCGGGTTGAAACCAGCGAGCCGTTGGCTGTACAACGAACCTCCTTGTTGCATCTGCTCCACTGGCAGTTGCTGACGTTGAAATTCGTCAATCTTGCGCTGTCGCTCCTCGACCAGTCGCGGATTATGTCCAGTGTCGGGGACTTGACTCCACATATGACGAGGGGAAACGGGTGCGAGGGCACGGTGCGTGGACTGAGAAGCAGTACCTCCATGAGAGACACCGTCCTCGTGATATGACTTCCGCGTAAGTTGGGTGGCCTTCTCATTGGGATTTACAACGTTAGGCTCGGGATTCGGGTACTTGATGTGCTCTGTGTTCTCAACTTGGAAGGCTGCCCAGATAAATTGACAAAACAAACATACATACTTGTGTCAAAAACGTGAATACCAGAAACCTGTGTGTCTAATGAAATTCCTCCAAGCACAAAGATACGTGTCCCGTCAGAAGCCATGGTATGATTCGCCCTTCTGTGCGGACTTGACCCCACGTTGTAAAATTTAAACCAACGCTGCGCTGCCATTCACATGTGAACACGGTAATGGTTCAGAAGCATGCTAAATCGCTCACTCGACAATTGAAGGCCAATCAAATCATCCAGATAGGTTTCGCCCGTGTGAACCCACCGAAGACATAACATCATCGACAAGGACAGCAGCATGATCCGAACGGGGAGACGGAATGGACCCAGTGCATTGTAGCTCAGTCCATTTTCGCGTCGAGATGTCAAACGACCAAGTGTCGTTATATAGATGTTGGTCAATACCGCCACCAAATCTACAAAAATTATAACGAGGGCAGAGAGCCAATGTGAGGGGCACAAACATAATAAGACGGTCTTCGGTCGTTACTGAAACGTGAGCGCTCCTCGGAAGGGGCTTTTCGTTTCCGGATGTGGGTTCATATGACCAAAGAGGTTGCGAATTTACTGCAGGAATATCGGGTCAAAATGGCCGGGAACAGAAATAAGTAAACGTACAACAGTTCAAATCGAGTGTCCACATATCACTGGTGTTATTCCCGCCAAAGCCGCGTTGACCACCGAAGACAAAGAGCTTGGAACCGACCACGCTTGTGGTATGGTTGTAACAACCATTGGGCCCAGGACCATTGACCACGACGCGGGTCCCCTCTCGCGATACTGGAGCACACGCAACGATCAGCTAGCGTCGGGTTTGATATTAAAAGACCTGACGTGCCGAGGTCGAGAAGATAAAGCGAATCACGATTGGGCACAGGCCGGACACCTTCATGACCACCGAAAATCAAAAGGGTACTAGTGTCGATGAGCACGGCATCATGACCGCCACGTGGGGTGGGAACCTCTCCGCCGATTTTCAAGAGAGTTGTAGAAAAATCCGCGTTGAGAACAAATAGATCGTCGCTTGCACAACCTCCAAAGAGGAATAACTCGCCGGCGGCGGTTGCAGTTGCAGTCAGCGTAGAACTATATCGAGGATACGATAATGGCGACGGCCCGAGTCCGGATTGAGGAGCATGTGCAGACCACGTACAGACGGGCCGCGGTTGTTGTGTAGATTGTGAGGCGAGTTCATTGGCAGGGGGAGAATTAAAAGGGAGCTCCTTCCGAGAGGAGAAGGACATGCTCTTAGGATCAGATGGTGGTAAACTAGAGAGGCTAAAGGCATGCAGTGAGTTGATCATGTTTGAAGGCCGTTATCGCGTTATCACTTATCAGTGATCAAGATCTAACTTGAGATCACTGATCACGTGAGCTAAGTATAAACTCGGAGAGGTCTACCTCTCTCTCTTTTCTTTTCGGCCTTTGCAAGACGCGCCCCTGGCCCTCGGATTTTTTGTACTCATTGTCGTCATCGTTTTCAGCACCCTTCTGTACGTGCCCATCCTCTTCTCATGATATTTGGCCTGACTCACCCTAATCGTGTCAGGTATTTAAGTTTATGCGGTTAGTCCTCATCTTTCCTTTCCTTTCCCTACATGTCTTTCTAACTGCACACACCCTAGACTTCGGATGATATGAATGTTGGCCATCTATTCCTGAATCTCAGATTTGTAGCTACAGAGGTGTCGCGGTGACGGAAGATCGTGGACCAGGATCATTGGCACTCGAACAAACCAAATGAGGAATAAAACAGGGACGACTAAAGAGACGGTTGCATGATGTGAAGCGAGGTTCATCACGGGAGACGATTGCCTGTTGCCGAAGACAATGCTGACAGCATCTACGACAAGTTTTGGGGCGTATGAGCGAAAATTATGAGGCTCCAGAATGGATGCAGGAGTCATGGCAGTCCCTCTTCCAGCTCATGACTGCGTGACTACGACGCACCGCACCTTTATTCAACGTACAGTAGATCACCAATTTTATGGACTAACGTATGTATGGCTCCCGAAAAAAGACCTCTTCAACCCCAAGTCTAATGTACTGTAGTTGCCGAGATGACCATGAATAGAGGAACCAAAAATGGACACATCCGGAATTGAACCGGACACCTCTCGCAAATCACATGCTAAGCGAGCGTGATAAACCAACTACACCATGTGCCCGCTGCTTTACTATTATGATAATATATACTAGATGCCTATGCGCACAACGAAATAAATAATGCAAATTGCACTCTATTATCCGTCATTTCGTACACATCCCTTCCGAGTCCCAGAATTCACTGCGGACGCCGACTGGGACGATAAATAGGTCGTTAGGGTCGTATTCGACCTTGATCTTCTCAAGACGTGCATAGTTGGGGCCGAAGAACGCGACCTGAAAGTTTGGCTCGAGCACGTCGGCCTCGTTTGAGTAGCTACCACTGGATTCGCCACCAGCAAGCTCCACGAGCGCAGGTCTACTTGTCGCGGTAAAATTCATTCGCAATGCCTGGACATCCGCGGCGGACAAGTCATCGTCCCAATCTTGGATGGCGATAACCTAGCAGAATCAGTCAAATTTAATTCAGAATACTGTATCGGGGAGAATTGCTCACATGGGTCTTTGCCGTGCGCCATGCAGGGTTTACCGCAGAATCGATGTCGGCATTGGCAGACACTTGGCCTACGTGGATGGTGAGACCATAGAACATCTCGAAACGAAAATGAAACGCACCCCCAGCACACAGGATTCCAAGGACATAAGGTATACCCTGTGAGATAAGCTGGTTGTACGCAGGGCCTACGCTCTCCGGCGTATTGGAATAGACAGTACCAGGAACAAGGCGAGAGCTAAGAATGGTGTTATACCCAGACAGGTCGTCTGGGAATCCAACGATATCGTTGGCAAAAGTAGTAATGGTTGTCTCCCCTTGAACAACGGCCCCAATTTTGGCTGCATCAGCAAGGAAAGAAGCCATCTGCGCCTTGCTGGCGTCACCGTCGAGGTCCTTGAAGAGAGTGTTAACGACAAGCGTGCTAGTCGTTGTCGACCCTGTCAAGTTGAAGTACTGCCCAGCCCGAACCTGATCCCAGTCGCTGATGTGCTTGGCGTGTGTAATCATCAAACTGGCTGTTTGGTCCAGAGTCGCCGTCAGAATATTTACAGTGTGTATAGTCGCATTGAAAATGGGGACGGTGGGGAGAGTGGCGTCTATAATAACACCCCAGCTACCAGCACCACCCCCACGCAAAGCCCAGAACACTGCAGGAAAGGCGGTATGAGAGACATCACGGACTGCAAGCTGGAGATCGTACAATCGGGGTGAGAGGCCGAGTTAACAGTCACGAACGACCCGTTGGCCAGAACGACGCTGAATTCTAGACTTCCTTTTCAGGCTAGTTGGAGAAAAAAAAAGAAGCTGGAGCACGTACGGAGAACGTTGTCCGCTGCGAGTCCATAAATGGGTGAGAATGCGGAATGTCCGGCGCCTTGGATATATCCGCCTGCCGGAGAGACCGTGGCAGCGCTACCGCCCACAAACATTTTTTGTTGTGCCTTTGCCGCACCATATATGGTTTTCAAGCCAACACCGGAGCCTACAGTAACCGCGGGTCCATGGTCTGAACCACTGACGATGAATTGTTCCGTGAAGGTGATGTTCGTAAAGTAGGCGGTCCAGAGAAGAAGTGAATTCTTCGCGGTAGAACGGCCTAGGTAATCATGGCCGGAAGATTTGATAGCAACCCGTAGGTCATGAGCCTGGGCAAATCTTATACCTGCCTAAAAAGGGATGAGCGAATGCAGTTATCGACCTGGAGGACTCATGAACCTGGATATGTGCGGCAGTTGTGGCATTGACTGCATAAAGCGGAACATCTCCCTGCGCACAGGTAGTCCCATTGAGCAAACAGAGCTCTGGTGGAGGGCCGTAATCCTGTCGTCATGTTAACGCCCGGTGAGTGGAATGAATTACCATAGACTCGGAGGGGTATGAATCACCTGTTCCCAATTGTACTACAACGGGTCATAAGTAGGTAAGGAAGGAAGGCCAGGTAAAGATTCTGGTAAGACACCCACAGCATTCATCGACCCAGGAATAGTTTGTCGGAAAATGCCGCTTTCCCACTGCGCCTCTGTGCAGCCCAGTTCAACACACGCCCTCGCAGACGGCACTACTTTGACTAGACGGCCATCAATAGAGTTGTTCAGGGAAGACCATTCCGCAGCACAGGGATAGCCACTGCTACCAGGCTGGTTGCGACACCGAGCGTGAACGAGAAGTGGGACCAAAAGAAAACCCGCTACCGCGCGCACGGCTACCGAACAAGAAAGAGGGAGCATTACTATGCAGAGCAGGGGGAACGGGTCCGAGGGGAAGAGGGGACGATAAAATTGCGATTCGATTTTTACCTTATATAACCAGGACAACTGCGGGTTTCGGTGCGGCTGGATGATGCCCCATCATCGGGGGAATGTTGGGAGTTTTGGGACAGTTGAATGAATAGAAATGTGAAAAGAAGATTGCATAATACAGTACTAGGCGCTACGGGGTGGCTCAATTCCGAGTCCGTCTTGCTGGCTGACGACAGGGTGATCAGAAAGCGCCAGGGTCTGGGAAACTCCTGTTCTGGTTGTGATCGTGATGGTGCGCTTCGGTCATTTGGCCGTCCGTTTCTAGAATGTAAATTCGCAGTTCGCAATTAATATCCAACTCTAAATTTCAATATTTTATGTGCTCGAGTGATGTATCCGCGCGGTCCTGAGAACAGGCACAGATGGGAGTAATAAGTCCAAATTTTACTTACTGTGCCTCGGTAGGCAATGTGTTGAGGGCATGGTTGCATTAGCTTGGCACCGGCGGCAAGGAATGCTGATTCGTGGCCGCGACGATGTGGCTGTGTGCGGTGATCCAACTGTACACGGACCGGCATTCGTTGGAAGTCCCGGCCGGGCCGTGAGGCTACCAAGTGGAACTGCCGGTCACTTGCTCGCTGCTCGCTGCTTTTCACTCCATCCTTCTGCCGCTCATTTAACCCGATATCACCGGTTATCCATTTACTGTTATTTATAAAGAAGCGCCGTTCTGTAAGCGAGGTACATGCGTTCACCGGTGGTAGTTCACCCCGGACATCGTGTCCCGTTGATGGTCCAGTGGCTTTCCCCCGGACACCATCGTAAATGGTCATTACTTCCGGGGACTGCTGCGGAAATTGCAAGGCTAATCTGTCACAGACTGTCAGACTATAAAAATTACATGCTATAGAGTCAGTTGACCATGGAACACCACATGGATCACATCAAAAGCCACAAATTCACCTTCGTCCCTTTCCAGAATTTCAGTGGGACGTCCTGCAATTCTCTACTTGGGGATATTCCATAGAGGGATTGCGTTACAGGTTGACCACTCCAGTACTCTACTGATTCCGTCTCTACCAGATCTCCGATATGTAGCTTTACGTCATGCGCGGATAAACAGGTTTTCAGATGAAACCCAGTTACTGTATGAACTGCAAGATTACAGGCCGGTATGACCCGACGCAGAGATCGCGACGCAGTAGCAGACGCAGACGGGGGGTGGCAATGTTTGAACTTGATAGATGCTCCGCCTGAAAGGCTGAAAACCCCCTGTCCGATCCTGGGGCGGCGACTCGGAATCGGCCGCTCAAACTCAGCTCAATTAACTTGAAATGAACTGTCATATACTATCGTCTGGAGAATTATTCACTCAAGTCCCGTTCACCAGCATGAAGTAAAACTGGCGGTCTAACCTGAAAGTGAGCGGGGGCTGACAGTCTCGGTAGTCGGTACAAGCAAATGAATTCCAAGTAACGTCTCGTTGGATTGCTCGCCATAATTCCAGTCATTCAGTGACCACGGCACTATCAATCCATTCACCACTAGTCCACCATGGAAGCCGCCGCCGCCCCTCATATCGCAAGTCTTTTCTTTCTCTCCCGTCGCGTCTTGTCGTTATACTGACCGCGTCATATAGGACATCTCCTCAGCCGAGCAGGTCTCGCTTCACGACTTGACAGTACCAGAGCTTTCTCCAAGTGATCCAACCAGCAATGCTAGCTCGCCGACCTCTTCGGTTCCCGTAACGCCACTTGATCCACCACCTTTTGCCGCGACGCTGGCAGACCCGCTCGCGCACGGGAAACACCAGCCTGATCCGCGGCCGTTCAGGCCAGTGACAAAGAGCGCTTCGCGACTCGGAACCGTGTGGCGCGCCAGACAAGTACTGCTCGGCCTGGGGAAGCGGAAGAGACGCGCCAGCGCCGAGACCAGTATCTCGACGGGTGTGGACTCGGAGCTGCTCACAGACTACTTTGACGTGCCAGAGCTGCCGGACTCGAACAGCGCGCCTGAGATTATAGAGCCACGCCCCTCTCAGACTCAGTCCCTTTTCAGTCTCCCAAATGTCCCGATTGACTCAGTACGTCCCTGTCCCTGCACACATACAGTACCACCCCAATTAGGGGGTGTACTAGTATTAGTCCCTCGATCATCACTCACTCACCTTGCCTCACTTCGGCAATTACGCACATAGCAGATCGTACGCGAGTTTACCAGGCGCAGCAGCACAAACGACACAGATACGCTCCCATCAGTCCCATCGAGCCCAGTAGCGGCCTTCACAACGATCGAGCGCAGCAGGAACACAGTGCCGCCGCCGGTTCACCCTGGGCCCCGCCGGACTCTCGCTCTCGCTCATCGCGCGCGTCACCCTGTTCCTACCATGGTGCGTCGCCGTCGGCGCAGCAATCGCGCTCTACCCACGAGCACTCTCGCGCCTCGTACGCATGTACGCAGGACCACCGCGCACGCCACTCCACCGCCTCGCACACCACGCGCACACCGCGCGCGCCCATCTCGGCATCTTCCTCGGCGTCCTTTGCCTCACCGCCGCTGCCATCCCCATCTGGCACCTTCGCGTCGTCCTCCTCTGTGCAGTCGTCGCGCGCGCCGTGGTCGTCTGGCGTGGATTTGGCGCGCGCGTGATGCTCCAGGAACGTCACGGTAAGGGTGAGGAAACGGAGGAGTGGCGCGAGGATGCGAGGTGCGTTTGGAGCGTGTTGCGTGGGGAGGAAGAGAGGGAGATATTGAGGGCTTGCGGTGGTGAGGCTATGGTGAAAGAGGAGTGAGGCCCATCATCCATCGTCCAGCGCCTTCATTTCTA